TACATATAATATTATAAATAAATTATTAAATAAAAAAATTAATATTAATTTTAATATCAATGTCATATAAATAAATTTAATTAAATAATTAATAAATTAAATATTATTTTTTATTTTTTTCAAGATTCTTAAAAACACAAATTAGAAAAAAACCCTTTTTTTAATATACGGACTATTTGAATAAAAAAATGAAAATTTAAACTTTAATTATATAAATAAAAAAAGCATTTTTTATTAAAAATTTAATAAGTTATTTTACAGACATTTTTTTTACCCACCAATATTTAATAAAAACAAATGCGCACAACAAATCTAAGATATAAAATATCAAACAAGATAATACATATTCACACGAATCACGATTAACTCTTCGTGATATTAGATTAATTTAATTTTATAATTATTAAATTAAAAATAGCTCCAACGTCAAAAAGAAATTTTAAAATAAGTCAAACAGACATTTCTTTTCTTTTATCCTTTTTGCTTTCTTTTCCACTTTTCCACTTTTCCACTTTCCACACATTTTTTTTTTCTTCTTTCTCTCCCTGAAGACTCAAGACTCTTCTTCAACCATTATAACAAGAACCAATTCACCACTCTCATTCAATCCTCCTTTATGATTCTTTACTTGTTTTCTCTTTCTACTTCTCCTTATATACCCTAACTAACAACCATTTTCCCAACAAATTTTCTTGCTTTTCTTCCTTCATTCTTTGTTTTCACTGCAATTTACCATCTTGATTTTTCTCATTCTCATGGAGAAAAGAGGTTTCTTGACTGAGGGAACACAACCCATATGGAATTCTTGTGGTTTTTCCTTTGAAACTCAACCAACCCATCTCAATTCAGCAACAGGGCAAGTACCCAGTTGCTTCTTCAGTCCCAATTGGGATAATTCCATGGATCAGAGCGGTCCCTTTGAGTCTGCATTGAGTTCCATGGTGTCTTCTCCGGTAGCATCTAATGCTGGCAGCACAGTTCTTGGTGCGGACAGCGGGATGATCGGAGAAGTGATTGGAAGATTAGGAAAAATAAGCAGTTCTGGAGAAACTTCACCACAATCTTACATCAAAACTAACAGTACTAACAATTCTAGTTACAATACTCCATTGAATTCACCCCCCAAGCTCAATCTTTCCAGGATGGATTCACAGATCCCGGGAAATTTGCCAATTTTTGGAAATGAATTGATAAACTATCCAAGCTTGGCATCACTTTCTGCAGACCCTGGATTTGTGCAGAGAGCTGCAAGGTTTTCCTGTTTTGGTAGCTCTGAATTGGCTCAAAGATTAGTCACCAGATTGGAATCCGGTATGCTTTCAAGAGTTGTAAGTAACCAATCCATTAAGGTTGCCGGATCTCATGAAACCAACAAGAATTTACTTTCAAGGGAAAATGAAAATTCTGGTTCTGACAAGAAGATGATTGGGTTGTCTACGCCGGCAAATGCAGAATTTGGTGATTCCAAGGAGGAATCTTCTGTGTCTGAGCAGATCCCAGGTGCGGATTCAAGCACCAAAGGCAGCAATGGTACTAATGCCAGGAAAAGGAAATCAACTCCAAGGGGAAAAGCAAAGGAAACTACTCCATCTCCATCTGCCACTGATGCTAAGGTAAAGTAAACTTGTCCTGGAATTCTCAGGAATTGCTAAATTCTTTGGGAAACCAATGTAGATTTTCATTTCAGGTTGCAGCAGAGAATGATGAACCCACTGCAAAGAGAAGCAAGCAAGATGAAGCTGCTGCAGAGAGTGCAAGGGAAAAGGATGAGAATCAGAAGCAAACTAAGGAGAATTCAAAGCCACCGGAGCCGCCAAAGGACTACATCCATGTCAGAGCCAGAAGGGGTCAAGCTACTGATAGCCATAGTCTTGCCGAAAGAGTAAGGATCCCCAAAGGAATAAACCATATTTATTCATTGTCCATAATTGAGGTTGTATTAATATGTATTTATTGTCATTTTTCCCTGCCAGGTACGGAGGGAGAAAATTAGTGAAAGGATGAAGTTCCTTCAAAATCTTGTTCCTGGTTGCAATAAGGTAGGCAGATCTACCATCTAAATTTTTGCATCCATTTAAGGTTGAATTCTAAATGAGGACTTATATTTGTTGCAGGTGACTGGTAAAGCAGTTATGCTTGATGAAATTATTAACTATGTGCAGTCGTTGCAGCGTCAAGTTGAGGTAGAATGAAATTGTCTAAAGTGTATAGATAGCATTATTCATCATGAATTGCAGTTCGAGCTTTAATTTGCATTAATTTTCTCTTGGTTTGATTTTTTCTGCAGTTTCTGTCTATGAAGTTGGCTACTGTAAATCCCCGGATGGATTTTAACATGGAAGCCCTTCTGTTAAAGGATGTGAGTTGCCTTTCGTTACATTAAATTGTTCCATGTCGCTGTGATAAGTTGTCTGAATTTTGAATTTGACATTCTTGCATCCAGTGCAACTTGCTTCAGATTTTACAATCTCGTGGACCTTTACCACACGACCTTTACCCTGTTGATTCTTCAGCACCAGCATTCCCTTTTCAGTATCAGCCCCAGCAAGGGCTAGCCCTGCAGGGTGGAATACCTAATAACATGGAGAAACAGTTCTCAGTGAACTCACTAAATGCATCACTGCATCGAAACCCAAGTATGCAGTTGCCTTCTATTGATGGATTTTGTGATACTACTACTCCTGCGGTAATCAACAATTACTTGTCCTACAGCATCCCATTCTTTCATATTTTCTCATCTACAGTATCTTAATTAGACCTGAACATACATTTCCAGGTTCCTTCATTATGGGAGGATGATCTTCTGAGTGTAGTCCAGATGGGGTTTGGCCAGAATCATGGTAAGCACGGTTAATCCAGAATCCGGTCATATATACTTCATCAGTGCTGAATTTAATCTTTAATCAGCATACATGCTCTCTGGTGCAGGCTCAATGGCTGCAGGTCAAATGAAAATTGAGCTGTAATGTAACTACCACTAAACAACCAGTCATATTGATTCCATTGAGGACCCGCCAAGAAGAAAGAGAGGCCCTCATGTATAGAGAGATCAATTCCTCTTTTGGCCGGAGAAAGAGATAAATTTCCAAAATTTTAGTCTCTTTTTCCCAGTTGTTTCTGCAACTCATTCTTTAGAGTTCTTATTATTACAATAATTTGACTTTTGTAACATCCTAGAACTAATTTAATCAATCAGTGATGTTTATTTCTTCAACAGTGTCTATGAATCTAGCATAGTGGTTGAAAGGAGAAGGAAATTTTTATGTAAACTTTTGTTTCAACCAGAACCATGAGTTGTCTTACAAGTTGAAAAACATTATCTTTCAATCCATTGAGTTTTTTTCTTTCTTCCTTGGCTAAGTACCTTCCTCTGACTTTGGTTGTATGGTGAATAAAGAAGTAAAGGGAAAAATGTTTATCCCACTCTTCAAAGAATTTTCAATTTTTTCCTGGCATCCAAACAGAAAATGGTATAAACAAAGTGATGACTTTTTCCATTACTTGCAGATTTAACTAGGAGGAAAAATTTTGCTGTATCACGGATATAAAAAGCAAAGTCCTCAATTAAAATGACATTACGTTACCCTTATATGGCGCAAGCAATGAGATAATTAAACTCAAACCTTACTTGCAACCAGCTGTTAAAGTGGGGACAAAAGCTCTCTTAAGTCCAACTGATGATTAGGACTGAATTGTGTTTTGAGCTGGATTCCAAACTCATTGTACTTTTCTCCTCCTTCTTTACGTGGGAATTCAGAAGCCCAGGTTGGCAATTGTCATCAAGAGAGCTTTAGAAAAAAATGAACTATGTAAAGAAAATCTATGGAAGAATAAAGTAGGTACGTAGATATCAACCACATGTTGATCTTAGTAAAGTAAAAGGAGTTCAGTTCTTTTTAAATAAAATATTGAATTTGAATCTTATAAATAGAAAAATAGATATTGAGAGAGTTTCTCTCTAATGAAGTTCAACGCAATTCGATTTTAAATTAGTCAAAATTTAATATGATTATCAGATAGCAAGAAGTTAATAAAAAAAAAAAAAAATTAGGTATGTAGACAACTTTTCCTCCGGTTTCCAAAAACCTAGAAAAAGAAATTTCTAATCTTTTTTTCCCCCTCTTCTTTGCTGATTGATCTAATAACTGAATTCATATGTGCATTTGTTGACATTGAATGCAAGTTAGGAATATTAATTTATACGTGGAGACTGGAAGTACAATCTGTTCAGAAGTTGGCACTTGCTCTTTTCTTTTATGGCAATCATTACATTTTTCATGAATTATTTTCCCTTGTGCAATTAATCAGGCAATATTCCATACCCAATTTGACTGCATCGGATTAAGTTACTTCTTCCATTTGAGAACCATAGAGTAAAAGAATACTGCATAAGAAATTATCTTGAAACTTGAATATTGTGAAGCGGTGAGAAATTATGCTAATCATGCCAAAAACACTAATTTAAATTTCTTAATATTATTTGAATGTAAATAATTTCAATAAATCATATTTATTATTTTTAAAAGTAAAATTTTATTTAATATGTACAAATAAAAGTTAAAGATTTAGATACACATATTATTAAAATAAATTTGAAGGAAGATGATTGGATTATAATCTTATCCTCTCTAACAAATTATTTCTGACAGCACATTCAAAGGCGATGGATGAGAAATCAAGCATTGGTGATTGAGATGGTTCAAGGGGGTAGGGACAAAAGTAAGGACTAGAAACGAGAGATTAAAAAAAAAAAAGAAAATAAAAGAAAAACTGTTTATATATATATATATATATATATATTTTTTTTTTATATTTGAGCCCTTGTAAAGCAACACTTTTAGTATATGGATAGTTGTGTCTGGGTGGGACACCCTTGCTAGTAAAAATCTAAAACTTCTCGAGGTGTACACTGTATGTGACAAAACATATTACAAAATTTAATTTATAATTGTAATTCAGTTAATAAAGTAGAAAACTTTAAAATTTTCTATCAAAAAGAAACAAACCCAGAAAAACAGACAAATAAATAAAGCAAAAAAATAGAGAGAAAGCACCTTAATTATGATATACCAATTGATAGTGATGCAGAAGAATTGGGGGAATTGAGATGGATAATTGCTTACATATTTTGTCAAACCTTGAATTTGGGGTTGTAATTATGCTAGCAAGTGAGAGTGAACCTTATTTTTACTTCAACCATAAAGTAGTTGGCAGCTGCCTGAACCATTGATAGTGAGTGATGCGCCTAACAAATCTACCAATAAGATCATATCCACTCTAATCACATTACTCAATTTCATTGTCTCTAATCATTGTTTTTAACAAGAAAGGAGAATTGACCTTAATGTTTTTATTTAAATCTGACACCTGTAATTTTTATGAAATAGATAAATTGTCTGTTTAAGTTTGAAATTTTGGAATTTGGGAATTTTCGTTCAACATTTGGGAATGATTCACAGTCAAACTTAAACAATCAATGACCTAATAGCCTAACTGTATCTTCTGGAAAAGATGGTTGGGGAACAGAATCAGATGAATGGGAAATGTGGGCAGGTTTGTGTTAAAATCACCCATTTAGGTGCAGAATAAAGGGTGTTTAACACAAGTAATGAAGAGCAAAAGGGGGTCCAGATTGATGGAATGTGTTTATATTTTCTTTTGTGGGGTTTATAATTAATTAGGTTTAGAGGGTGTCCCATTCACCAGGCTGTCACAATTTCTCCTCTTCTTTATGTCTCCTTTCACCTTCTCTGCAAGCAATTTTGCTTTAACTTGGTTAGGTATGGACCTTTGATTGCCTTGTTAAAAAAACAAAAAAAAAATCTAATCATTTTGCTTTACCAAACATAACCATCAAAAACTCCTCAACATAATTGCATGCCCTACAACTGTGGGGTTGTCTCAACCAATCCAAAAACTTAGAAATGTTTTGCTTTTACCAACCCTTATAAGTTTCTTTTCCAATCTTTTTCGATCAAAAATTTTGACTTCATATCTTGATATAATTATTAAAAAACTTTATCAACCCAATGAGAAAACAATTTTATAAGGAAAATTTTCTACCATTAAAGGGGAGGGAGATAAAATTGTTCCTCTCCAAGGGAAATGGCGAATTCATCCAAATGTCACTTTCAAAAACCATTTCCCTCGTTAAAATTGTGATGTCTTGGGTTTAATCTTCTGCAACTGGGTGTGTGTGGCCAGGGTTTAACATATATACTAGTTTCCTTTCTATCCCTAACCTTGAGTCTGAGATAAGTGTAGAAATGGTCCACATGTAGGGATAGATTCATGTCAGAGACGACAAGCGCACAAGCTTCTTCTTGTTTTGTTGTTTTCAAAACAGAACAAGAGGGCTTAAAAAAAAACCCTGTGCTTGTGCCCTGTCTGCATCTGTCTTTCCATTCAACACAGACACACTTCTCTAATAAACTTGAGGATTGCCTCCCTATCTTCTTGACATTAGAACCAAACACATAAATGATCTGAGCTTCACGACATTATTGTTACCTTCTTCACCAGGTCCATTGTCTCACATTTGGGTTCCACCATATCCAGTACACCACAACAATCTAGACCTCCAATTCACATGCAAAAATAACATCAATCTTCAGACTTCCTCCAGCATCATAATTTGGGGGTATGGAAGCAACATGGACAGCTATATGTGCATAGGATATCTGCACAAGCTAACTCAAGGATATCTCGACTGTCCAATCAAATACATATATATATATATATATATATGAAGAGTGCCTGCTGCTCATGCATGTTTGATTTGGTTGCTATGAGATATTTGAAGGCATTTACTTATTAATTAGTGTAGAGCATAGAGCACCCTTTTTCTTTTGAAAAAAGAAGATATATATTTTTCATTTGATTGTTATTTTTTTAATTCATAAAAAGAATACTGCAAAGGGGCAAAATCAATGTTTTTATTTAGATTTTTAAAGATACATCTTAAAGAACTTTTTTTAACAAAAAAAACTTTGCAAAATACATACGCTCTGCAGCTAAACGTATTTATATGTTGCAACGATCATAACCAGAGAACCAAGATGAGGGTTCTGCAAGCTTCGATAACTCACCATCATCACTCTTATAGAATGGCTCAAACTCTTGTCTCCATTGCTGATCACCAGCATCATGGGGTTCGTCTGCATCATACTTAGCCGTGTTAAAGTCATTGTAAGCAGGTTGTATTGCTTCCCTTGGCAGGCGAGACTCTGGCAGAAGCTCATTAAGAGAGTTAATCTCACTCTGGTGTTTTCTCTTTAATTTATCAATCTGTTTAAAAGCCTTCTCAGTTTCCTTCTCTGCTTCACTAGCTCGCTTCTGCAATTGTTACAGAAACCAAAGAAAAGAACAAAAAAAAAAAATGTAAGAAGACTGATACTAAATATAATTCATCTAGGGTTTGATGTCTTGAAGATCACATTTCTCTTGCAAATATGTGATGGGGCTTTGTTTGGACTACTAACTGATCTTAAGCACTCGCCTATTCATGCAAACTAGCTAACATAATAATCCATTATTAAGGCATAAAAGACCAAAAAGAAAAGGGCATATCTCATTGTACTTTCCCATTTCAACCCTGAAGATTTTAGTTAAACATCCCTGAAGAACATAAAAAATGCATTGAGAATTTGCATTTTGTTTTATATCAGAATATTTCCATCTTCCAATCTGAACTTTATTTTATCCCCAGTAGATTTATTTTTCAAAAGGAATAATAGAAAATTTTATGACTCATAAAGACTTAAATTATTAAGTTCGAGACACCAAAACATTGGCACAGAAAACATGCTTACACTAGTCCTTCAATAGAAATGTATATTCATATCCATAGAAGGCATGCTTGTAGTGGCTTTGTGAAAGAACCGAACACCTATCTAATAGTCATTAACTTTAACACACATCAAAGCAGTCATACCAAGGCCCTTTTGATGTTTTAATCCAGCAAATAATGCATGAGCAATGATACACATACATAAGATAAATGCCATCAAGTAAAAAAAGAACTGCCAAGAAAGAACTACTTCCGAACATACCTCAGCAACAATCACAGCTTCTTCTGCTTCTTTTAGGCGGACAAGCAACTCCCCTGCAGCCTGCACAGCTTCAGCAGTATCTCTCAATTGAGCCTGAAGTCCTTTATTTTCATCCCTGAGGTAGCGCCTCTCCTTTTCTCTTTCCACTTTTAGTGCAGAAATTTCTGCAGCAAGGGCATTTATGAACCTTGATTCAGCACCCCTGACCCCAGCTCTAGCAGCTGCCTTTTTAACATCATCTATTCCTTCTTGAATTTTTCTATGCCTGGCAAGCAGTTGGATATGCTTCTCCTGAAGATCTGCATACTGTTCAAGCATTCGTGCATGTCCCTCCATAGCCATTTGCATTGCTTCCTTCAACTCCTCTGCACATTTCTTTTCTGTATCTAATTCCAGCTTCATCCTTTCAGCTAGAGACCTGCTAGCTCCAAGTTCAGTTCTTAATTCCTCCGCTACAGAAATCCATTTGCTCTCTGCCTCAGTCCAGCGACTTCTTTCCAGCTCAAGTTTCACCTCAGCACTCTCCTCATTTGTCTCTGGGATTACAGTGAGAGGTGCAACCATATTGGGCTCACATGAATACGTCAATTGCAGTAGAGAATTTTGTCTTCGAGTTGATGTTGATGAGGAGTCTATATAGTACTCTAATTGACTTCTTAAATCCTGAATTTCTTCCAACAAAACTTCCCTCTCACCCAACTCATAAAAATTCCGCAAGCGTTCCAGTTCATCTTGAACTCTTTTCAACTCAATCTTTGTTCTTAAAATTTCAGGATGGTTCTCATATTTGTTCTTCAGAAGCTGTAGATGATGATAGGTAAGACATCCTGTAGAGAAACGTAAAAATGGAATCTTAAGAAACCAACATATACCTTATGCTCGTGTGTGAGAGAGGCCAGCTCTTCCTCCATGAATTCATCAGTGGGCAAAACACCATCCATAAGGCTCTCTAGGCGAAGAATTTTATCCTCCTTTGTCTGTGCTATTATGGCATTGCACTCTCTCTCATGTTTGTACTGTTGGACCTGTAAATAATAGCAAGATAAGGATTCAGATTTACTTGGAAGCAGCGATGGCTAGAGTTGACTGCTCACAAAATGACTAAGAAACCCTACCAAGCGGTTTAACTGTGTTATTTCTGAAGCTTGTTTGGCACAAAACTCTTCTAGTGCCATTTCTCTCCTGATAGATCCAGCCAGAACCCTCTCCACGGCCTGCATAATACAAAGAAAAGGCATATCAAATATCTTATTAAACAACATTGTAAGCCAAGGCTCAATATTGGAGTTATTGGATTTCTTACTTTCGGAACCTGCTTCTTGGATTTCTCAGCAGACTCTGATCCATCATCAACTGGTACTAATTGCATGTTTGAGCAGTTTTCATCCTCTTTTCCTTCTAGGGTTATCCTTTTGCAGCTACTGCATAAAAATACCTCTTGCTTTGCTTCTAACATCTCATCATCTTGAGGAAAAGTCTGCACACCAGCATCAACTTTACAAACTGCAAAGCTTGGCTTTGAATCAGCAGGTTTTAATGAGAACCGGAATAATGACCGCCTCAATGCTGAACTCTGTCGGTGACTTTCAATAATCTCTAGGCCACGGTGGAGGCTAGCTGCCAAATCTTCAGATGGTGATACAAAACTAGTACTCTTTTTGGTTGAGAGAGCACTAGAAGAGATGCATTTTTTGGAATTTACCAGAGCATTACACATGGTCTCTGAGCTTAACCTCTCATCCTTGAGATCTTTCTGTGAAGCAGTTAACATTGATGATGTTCTCAGACTTTTCCTACTGTGGTTGATTCTGGGTGAGGCACTTAGTGTTGGAGATTTAAGAATGGGGGACACATCAGAGGTAACAATGGAGAGACTATGGGGTGCAGTACCACCAGAGCCATTCTCCAAATTATTGAGTGTGTCTGCAGCAGAAAGTTCAGAAACCTCACAAAGAGGGTCTGCAACTGGGCACGGTGATCCATTTCCAATATTTTTGCATGACAATTCTTCCATTACCAAATCATTGACAGCAGAATTCAAAGTTGCTTTCTCCTCAGAGGGCTGTCCAGAGGAACTCCCATCAAGTTTTTCAACAATTTGGCAAAATGGATTCTGGTCAACACTTTCAGGTTCAGGATTATTGGCAAGCACATGACAACTGGAAAGATCTGGACTTTCTGTAACTTGTTCTGCAAAATCAACAATCAAGGTCTCAGAGTTCTTAGCTTGTTCGGATGTTTCTTCCTCCATGTTCACATCAGTATCTGATTCAATAGTCTGAGTCTCTACTTTGCACACATTATTTTTGTCCTGCTCTTCAATACCAACTGATTGCAGCAGACCTACTTGAACATAGAACTTCTCAACAGCTTCCTCGTCTATTTCCATCTCCTCATCACCATCTTCATCAAGATGTGGTAATGTCCTTGGATGATTGAGGCTAAATTTTAATAAATTCAAACTTCTACGGGCATTCCAACCAGTTGAGTAACCTCCATCTGGATTGGTCGGTGTATTGCTATTTGCCTTCATTCGATAGAGTTCATCCTGCATTGTTCATCCACATGTGTTATCTTATCCCATTTGATTGAATTGACAACTCAAACACAACATCATAATTAGTTAAGAATGATATACCCTCAGCTGCCGTATAACTTCACGCAAAAAATTCACATCATCCTGCATCACTTCATTGACAACAGCCTTATTCTTGATTGCCTTTGCACGTTGTGCAAATCTTAGTGTGCTAAATGTTTCACTCTTACAGCTGCATTACTTACCCATGTGAAGCTCCATTCAAAAGAGGAAATAAATATATTCTTTTTCAAAAATAAAAAGAAATTATGGTCTACTTATTACCGTTGTGCAGGAGAAACAGCACAGACCATTGCTAATTTGGCATTGCCACCAAGAGATTCCTGTAATAAAAATGTCAACCTGGAGTCTCTATACGGAATATGCCTTTGCTTTCCATTTTGTGAAACTTCAGCAAGAATGTTTATCAAGTTACTGTAACACCAAAAATTTTAAGCACAATTAACAATATGATAGAGAAGTGTGTCTGCCCCAGTAAATGCATGTAATAAAAATTGAGAGATCAAATCAGCAACAAAATATTGTGGGATTTGAATCTTAGTTGTACAAATAGAGAAAAATAGCATGCAAGAAAGTATTGTTGAATTGAATTATCTAAACCTGTAATCTTAGTTTTTACTTATATGAATAAACAACATTTTCAAGAAAAAAAGAAAAATCAAAGAAAATAACATTGTCATTTTTTCAATCATATTTGATATTCCCTTTTCATTTTTAGCTGGATGGACAATCATGGTCTAGAATTTGAGCTAAAATCAGTTCCAATAGCAGTTGTATAAGTATTTTCTCTATAATGTGGAGCCAATTCTTCATCTCATTTTACAATTTTCCTAAATTCCTTTCACTTTCATGTTGTTCTGGTTTAGCAAAGAACCCTTGTAACTTCAAAAGCAAAGAGAACCTTTGAGTGCAAGCTATGGCTTAGATACAAAGATTCACTAAAGTCTTCCGAGGCAGAGCATGCACAATATATATACCTCTAAAAGCTGCATGTGCCAAAGATGAAAATCTGATTTTTGAGATCAAAAGTACGACATTTACCGAAAAATTTAAACTCTAGAGTATTTGAGTGGTTTTTTCACAATTTAGGGAAATCAGAAGATTAGTATTGATATAATAACATTGAAAAACAGAATGACTTATGTCCTATCTAAGGGAAAACGAAGCAAGACAAATTTATACCCAAGCTGTGAGAGTGAACGGTTAATATTCCCTGCTTCCTTCAAGCGTTCTCCCGCAGCACCTGTTAGTTTTTGCCTCTCTGACCCAGCTAGATCAACCAGATTTATTCGGCTTGTTTTAAAGCTGCTGAAACCATCTGCCATGCTCTGAAAATTAAAAGTTTGCTTTAGAATCTCTTGAGCATATACAATATACAGAAATAGAAAAAACAAATTAAGAAAAGGGAGGCAAGTTAGAGTTTCTGTTGTGCAGATCGTTAGGTCGCATCCAGTTTCAGTTTTAACAGATAAATTTTTGCTACATGGTATATAGATTTGTTATCCCATGTAGAACATAAATGACAAAGGAAAAAAGAGAAGAAAAAGATCAACTCATCCTCTGTATTAGAAATGAATAAATCAGATGTTGTTTTTTTTCTTAGGTAATAAATCAGATGGATGAATAATTCCTTACCTTACATCGGGATTCAACAATACAAGTAAAAACACTATGTGAACGAGAACTCTCTGCATTTATAGTAGTTGAACCTGTTCTCCTGTTTGACAACCCCTGCATCATTAATTATAGTAGATGTAAATATATGCTCAAAATTTACTGAATAACCTAGAAGGCTAGAAGGCTAGAAGTCAGTTTTGAAATGAAGTTTCATCAGATTAATGAAGACCCTAATATCTTTTGAATTCCTAGTATGCTAGTATGAGGTGACAATCAATAAAAATATAAAATAAAAATCCTCTAATCAACGTTGAAGGTCTCAAGATGTAGCTAGAAAGTTCCCCTTCCCAAAAAAGTAGTAGTCTGAACTTAGAGTACAGGTAGAGCAACAAAGCAAACCTTTGTCAAAAGGCGGGTCACATCCTTCATTGTACTAACATACTCCTCTGTCAAATTTTCAACATAAACACCGGACTTGACATCTTCTCTTATCTGAAGGAAAACCCCAATACAGGCATAAGAGATATGGTTTTCCGCACAATTTAGAGGAAATAGTTGAACCAAATATTCAAACATAATTGTTTCTTCTACCTGCAGGTTCTTTTGGTTGGGATCCAGCAAATCTGTGATTTGTTCATTGTAAATCTGAAAAAGCAAATTTAAGAATCAAGAATTGTAAAATTAAAAACAAAACAGGCTCAGGTTAAAAGTTTCCAGTAAGTCAACCTCAAGAAAAGAACAGCGACACTGATACTTGAGTTGTTTTTCAGCATGCTTAACTTGCTCCTACAATCAGGAAGGCTCAAGCTTAATCATGACAATTCAACAATTATACTTGAAACTTCAGTTCAATGATGAATTAGATGGAACATTACCTCATTTATTCGTGCAAAAAGAAGCTCAAAAACTCGGGGGGTTAAGCCCTGTTGTTCGCTTGATAGGTTTTCTTCCAACAAGGCATTGGCTGGACCCAACATAGTGTAAGTCTTTCCACTTCCCGTCTAGTGGAATTGATATTCAGTAAATGTTTAAACATTAGCATCATCATATTAAATGGCAGAATGCAAGTATTGTAAGAAATAAAAGAAACTCAGAAGTAAGTAGTACCTGCCCATAGGCAAATACAGAGCTGTTAAATCCAGCCAGACAGTTTTCAACAAGAGGGGCCCCAACAAGCTCAAATATATCAAGCTGCAGAAAAAGAAAGCAAATTCTGGGGATTTCAATTTACTAATAAACATAACAAACAACTTGCAGGCTAATCATGTTGACAGAGGTCATGCCTGAGTTGCACCAGTGTCAGCAACTGCATCAAATGTGAACATCTGTCCATTAATAGTCAAAGAATCATTTGAAGTTTTCTGAAGTATCATCTCTTCTTCTTCTTCTTCCTTGTTTGGTGGACGCATCCGTACTATCACCTAAAAATATTAAACCAAAAGCCGGCGGTTATAATGCTATTGCTCATATCCAATTTACCTTAACTTAGGAAAAAAAAAAATGCAAATGTCATGCCACTGAAATCACTGAAACATAATCAACTGTAACTAGATGAGGTGAGTTTGAAATTTTCCGAACACAAGCACGGAGAAAGCCCAAATCCATTATTTCTCTCCTTTCTCCCTTCATTGTGTCCCAATTTCGCAACAACCAAACAAAAGCCCAGTAATTCAAACTCGAAAGAAAAATAACATAGGATCCAGGACAAACAAACTGAACTAAGAGTACCTTGACACCCGAATCGGAAACTCCTGTAGCGGAATTTTCAGCTAGGGCTTTTTCAGCAAGGGCTTCCATACTGAGCTTGCGCTTGAGTGGGTTGGAGGAGGGTGGACGTGGCGGCAGCGGGCTCTTCGTCTTGATGGCAGGAGACGATTGAGAGTTCGGATCTGGTGGTGGAGCATTTTCCTTGGAGGATTTCTGCTTTCTCAGGGACTTGGATTTAGGGTTTGGTGAAGAAGATGGAGGTGGATCTTGAGTTTCTCTCAAGATCGTGTTTCTTGGTTGCATGAAATGCTTCATTTCTCAGTGGAAGCTCAGATCGGAGTGACAGAGTAGGGTTTGGGAGTTTGGGCAAGGAAGCGAGAGAGGTGGAGACAAAGACGAAGAGAGAAAGAGAAATCTAGCCGTTAGGGGACATAGAATTTGAATTTCTGCTTTTGTTAATTCGCATGTCTCTCTGTGAATTTTTTTTTGTTTTTTTGTTGCCATTGGCTTTTTGCTATAATGGTTGGGGGTTGGTAATTACCGTTTTGTTTAATTCAATAAATTAGAGTGTTTAAATAAAATTATAAATTAATATAATATTAATATAATATTATAAGTTAATTTTAAAACAAAAAATTAATTATATAATAACATAATGTACTATAAATTTATAATATTATATGATATTAATGTATATTAATTTGATTTTTACAAAAATTAAAGTTTAAACATATATTTAAAAATTGAAGTCCTAAATCAAAATTTAAAAATTTAATCAGTTTTTAAATCTAAATATCAATATTTAAAAAGATAAAATTTTAAATTTTAAATTAAATTTTAATAAAATAAAATAAATAATTTAAAATTAAAACTCTAATTTTTTACAAATTAAGACTAATATGTACTTTTTTTTATATTATATAATAGAATATTATAATTATAAAATTTATATTAATAATTATTATTATTAATTATCAAATTAAATAAAACCTCTAGCTATTAATTTTAAAAAATTATACCTAACAACCTATATTTCTATTTCTCTTCAATTTTTTTTAGGCAGATGGTTTTTGAATTACGTCGGATCTGGGAGCGTTTTCATGGGGTTTCCCGCTCTGAAGAATCCTAGGTGCACAAAAGAATGGCCCACCATGACTCTCTACGGCCCATATCTTTTTGTTGTACATACATTAATGATATACTACACGGCCCATTTAAATGAAATGGGCCCAGCCCAATATATGTGACGACGCATACAGGCAGCGTGCGAGCGAGGTGGCAGCATTTTTGTTCATACACGTTTCCATGTGTCCCTCTCTCGACACTGCAAGCATTCCCGAGACGATAAGAATCAGTGAATCACACAAATTGCGCTGCCCATTATGTAATTTGCAATTGCATCCCATACATCTCTGTCCACTTCCCTCATGTCTAAAATACGCGGCACGACGTCTCTGCATGCGTGTCCAAACACTCCTAGTCCTTCCTCTTTACCCCGTTAGTATATATAACCCTCTCTCCCGCATTTTTATGGATCGTAGCAGAGAAAAATGGCGAAATCCGGAGAACACATAATCGTCCCATTGATCTTCACGCTATTCTTCCTCTCTTCTTCCTTGGTCTCGGGGTTCAACACGGGTTTGGGAGCGAAGACGGAGATTAGCGATGTGAAGGAGAACGAGGAGGTGCAGGAGCTCGGGAGGTTCTCTGTAGAAGAGTTCAATAGGAGGCAAGGGAACGGTGGTATTATCGGAGAGTTGGTGTTCTTGGAGGTGGTGGAGGCGCAGCGGCAGGTGGTTTCGGGGATAAAGTACTATCTGAAAGTGAATGCGACGCAAAATGGGCTGGGGAGAGTGTTCGATTCGGTGGTTGTGGTCAAGCCTTGGGCTCATTCCAAGCAGTTGGTTAACTTTTCACCATCCAATACTAAATGAGGGAATGGGATTTGGATCGTTTTGGTTTTCCGGTGAATTAAACTTATGTTTATTAATTATAACATGCAAGTTATGAAGATATATATATATAAAATAATGTAATGTACGTTGATCAATGAATATGGAATTACTGGCCAAAAGAAAAATGAATATGGAATTAGAAATAATAATGTAACGTTGTGAACAAGTTAAGCACTACCTAAATGCATGTTGTACAAGAAAGAATTTATAAGTTGAAATTAGAATGTACAATTTGAATTAAAATGTATAATGAAATAAGTTAAGAAATGAAAAAATTTTGCTTTTTTATTGTGCCAAGGTGCAAGCCAACATTGTAAAAAATAATAATAATGTCAATGTTTTATGAAAATATTATAATTATCTTAATTAATAGTATAATAAACTAATAAAGTAAGTACATGACTACACTATAAATAAATTAGAAAATACGAACCCATAATATTTCAAAAGTTGAGCATGAAATCAGACATTTAGAAATAGTCTAAGGACCTCAAAGCCATTAAATCCTTAAATTAACTTTATTTGAAATGTTACATTCATTTAAGTCACTCAATATTCGTTTTTTTTAAATAGTAATAGTAGTAAAATTAAGAGATTTTAAATTTGAATTATATTATATGTAAGTAGGATAAATTAAGAAATAAAAAAATTATTTTTTATTGTGCAATGAAGATAAAAAAAAAAACTATTTGAAGGGACAAAATGCAATATAAAATTCCGTTAGAAAGGTAATCGTAAATTAAAAAGTGAAAAAAATAGGGAGAAAGGAAAGGTGGAATGGAAGCTCATTCTTAATGCTTTCCAGCCCAAGTTTTCCTTCCTTTTCCAATTCATAAAGCAAGCAGCTCTTGGGCCAATCCTCAGTTCAAGCCCAACAGAAGAGTCCACTACTCGGATGGAATACGGATTCGGGTCGGCCAAGGTTAAGCCCATCGTGATGCCCGTAAGTGATCTGATCAAATGACGGAAGTACCCTCTGCGCTCTTTATATACTCGAACTAGGGTTTTACAGCCACCGGCCATCATCCATTCCACCGTTGTAGCCGAGGGGAGGCAGCAGCCCGTGTTCTGATCCTGCAGCCATGGGTAACGCTATTCACGTCCACCCCCATTTCTGTGCTCATCTATGCGCCTGTGTTTTCATGGCTGATTGCAATTGCAGGTATCTCGCGTGATTCCATGCACAAGAGGCGCGCCACCGGAGGGAAGAAGAAGGCGTGGAGGAAGAAGAGAAAGTATGAGCTTGGACGGCAGCCGGCGAACACTAAGCTTTCCAGCAACAAGACCGTGAGGAGGATTCGTGTCAGAGGAGGCAATGTGAAGTGGAGGGCTCTCAGATTGGACACCGGGAATTACTCCTGGGGCAGTGAAACTGTTACCCGGAAAACCCGTATCCTTGATGTGGTTTACAATGCTTCAAACAATGAGCTTGTCCGAACCCAGACGCTGGTGAAGAGTGCAATCGTTCAGGTGGATGCTGCGCCATTCAAGCAGTGGTACCTTCAGCACTATGGTGTGGAAATCGGCAGGAAGAAGAAGACAGCTGCTAAGAAGGACACACCAGAGGTAGTTTTTATCAATTCCTTTCGCATTTACTTTGTAAATGTGTATGTGAATAGCATTATAGTCTTTTTATGTGTTGTAAAGCTAAACTAAAGGCCCTCAGAAGTGATGCTGGGTACTAGTGATAGCTGGTGAATAGTTTATCTCTTGTTAATACACCAGTATGTAGTATGTCTTCTTTATGCACTAGTAAACAGATGGCTAGAGAGTAGTTTGGTATTATAGAGTTCTGTGAATTGACTAAATTTATCGGTTCCTACTTACTTACATCTTGTTGGTTGGTTAAGCTGCTACCAAACGTTTTAGTTTATAAATTAGTATATCAGCTTAATATATCATATGCAATCTTACTTGACACAGCATTTAAACCTCTATACTAATTTGCTTTTGCTTTGTGCTTTTTGTAGTTGATATGGTTGACGACTTAATTTAACTTACTGCTAGAGTTTTTAGCCGTTTAAGATATTTGATTTATGGATTGTCTCTGTAAGAATTTCCTTCTTATTGCTGACACTTATGTGCATTTTCATTTTGGTGTCCTCATGGGAGAAGTGCCTTGCATTGAAGCTTTAGTTATGGCTGAATTATAATTTAAAGTGAATTCTGTTTTAGTATACAAAGCAGAGCTGTAAAAGGATTGGAATAAACAGAAGAGATTTTCTTAACTTCTTTTGTAGAGGAGTTGTTACCAATGATGGGGTCACTGACTACCTTCTCTGCCATCTTTAATGGATGGTTTTGAGGAATTTTATTCTCATTTTAGCTCCTGGGTTTCTGCTTGCTGCACAATGTCGTTACTGTAGAGCTTTGTGCTTTTGAAAAGGTTGACATATATAATATCATTGCTTGTGAATTCCTTTATTGTTTCTTGAATTTGTTGCCTTTTGATGTCCTAGTAAAACTTGTCTCGGAATCTTTTTGGCTCCTACTGTTACATGGGTAATCTGTATTTTGCCTTGAAATTTAACAATGTCTATGCAAAAGCAGGAGGGAGAAGCACCTTTAGAGGAGACAAAGAAGAGCAAGCACGTCTTGCGAAAGCTTGAGAAGCGTCAGCAGGGTCGTACTCTGGACCCCCATATCGAAGAACAGTTTGCAAGTGGCAGATTGTTGGCTTGCATTTCTTCTCGACCAGGTCAATGCGGTAGAGCAGATGGGTTAGTACAAATACTCTCATGGTTTCATAGTTTATTTAACTTTATACCATGTATGTTTCACCTAACTATTTTTCTGTCAATAGATATATCTTGGAAGGCAAGGAGCTTGAGTTCTACACAAAGAAGATTCAAAGGAAGAAGGGCAAGTCTGCTGGTGGTGCTGCTTAGTTCACAGCTTTCTTGAGACAATTTAATTGTGTACGGTCAGTTGAGAATTGTTTGAAAGTAGGATAGCAATATCCTTTTAAGACTTGGAAGTTGGAACTTGGTGCTCGTGTTTATTTGTCTAGGCAGTTTTCTGAAAAAAATTTTGCGTTTTACTATTCAACCAAGAATTATTTACAGCCTGATTAGTTGTTATTATTTTATGTGGAAGTAGTTCTGCTTTGAAGCTATAAATAAGGTTTGATGCATCTACAATCCTGCTGCAGTAACAGACAATTCAACATGCTTAATTGGATAATTGAAATATAACCCCGATAGCTTGTTTGGGAGGGGAGAAATTTCCTTTTCGGATAACAAAAAATGGAGGGAATATGAGGAATTCTGCTTTAATTTTCTTGGGAAAATTTCACTATGTATATC